TTTCTCTAACAATTGGTTTGTTGTTATTTAAGTACCATTTGGCCATGAAGGGCCAAAGGATAATTTATTTACTGTTTTAAGGTCAAAAGTCAAGGTCACATTAACATTCACTTTCTGCTAAATGATTTTGAGTTTATTTAACACTAAATTACTTTATTATTGTTTTGGATAAGTCAAAGGTCAATGTAGTCAAAGGTCAATGTCATAGTGACCTTTAAACGATTTGTTTTGGGTAAGTAAGTCAAAGGTCAATGTCACATTGACCCAAAGAATTCACCACTTCAATAATTATGTTTCAAACTCAGTTGGGCTACTTAATAGGAAACACTGAGATTCTTTAATAAGCTTTTTTAAACATTTTAACATTATTTTGTAACATTCTTTAACACAGAATTAACTGTTCAAGTTAAATTCTGTAAGTCTCTCTGATTTAATTGACAATCTTGCTGTTTATCAAGCATAAATTTATCGCTTGAAATTCATAAAGTTAAACAATTTAGTGTAGGCAGTATAGAGCACTTTGTGACCTAGGGTATAGATTTTAGCATAGTAATCAATTTGTAGAAACTGATATCGATACACTTCCTAAAATACAATGCCTTGATTAATGAGATTGCTCAGGCTTTCTTAAAGTAAGTTTTTAGTTTAATATATAGCTCATATACATGTAGGAGACTAGATTTCTTTATTGAGTATCTGTTTATTTATACCCATTATACATGTACAATGGTCTTTATGTCTGAGTCTCATTTGTATATATCAAGATTTCTAGCTTTTGATAGGCTTCTAGTCCTAGGAAACTATTTGTTTGGTACTCATGATATTTTTGTTGGCTTTTGTCTGTCTTAGGGCTTTATTAATTCCTTTAAAATGTGTTTTGCATCTCTCTTTTTTGGAGGTATGACAAGTCACACTAACTTACACATTCATAAAAGTAATTTTACATTTTCAGTAGAGTGGGACATTTACAGATGCCCAAATGAGGTAGCTCTTTAACATGAAACAGTTGGACTGTACCACCCATTTGGGGTGGGGGTGAGGAGGTGTGGGGGGTAATGGCAAGGAAGTTAAAAACATTAAAAAAGAAGAGAAAAAATTTGCCAGTTTGATTATTTTTTTTGCATGATAATTATTCAATTCCCTCCTGTATTTCAGACATACCTGAAGGAAATACTAAAGGAGATTTGTATATACAATGTGAAGGCCCCTCACAAGAACATGTGGGAGTTACGACCAGAATACAGGCATTATAGGTCCTAGACGATGTCACATGATAGAGCGGATTACTGCGCTGGAGAACCAAAAATTAGCGGGACTATTTTTGGTGTTGAAAGTTTCATGAGGATATACGTAGTGATGAATGTCAACTTGAAAGGTTGACCTTTTAGAACACTGGTGGAGAAATGTGGATGTCATGTTTGTAAGAAGCAGGGGAGATATTTTGTAAATTTTGCTAAAAATATTCATAAATTATTTTAGATGTATATTGTTTAACTTTTTGTTTCAAATTGAAAAAGAAAATACTTTCACTATTAAAATCAGTATTCTTTTTATGTAAAAAATGAAGTATCAAAATTAATAAATTCCAAGTGTTTTAAAGTTACATTAGCATTTTTATAATGATACTGCCTTTCACTTGGTAAAATCTTCAGTCTTATTTTGTGCTTGAAAATTTCTGTTAAAGTTATTATTTTAAATAAACCCATGTTGTGATTATATAAACTTGTTTTTTTTGGTCCCCTTTTCAGGATTTTATTTTAAGGTCATGACAGTATGAATTGTCATAGTTCTAGATTTCATTATCTTACCATGCTGCCTTGTGAAATGAACAAAATCAACCTTGATCCTTTATCACTATCTACTGTACAAATAGAAAATGAATATAAAAAAAAACAGGTTTGTTCATTTGGTTTTATGGCGCACCAACATAGTACAGGTCATATGACCCGTAAACAGGAAAGATGATTTTGGCTAATTTCGGGTTTTCCAAACTTGAAAGTAACACCAGGCGTTAAAACCACCTCCTGGAGCTTAGAGATGCATTATAGACTTGTTATTTGAACCCATTTAGTCATTATCAGGCAAGGATAAATAGTGGCTGCAATTCTTATGCCTTAACCATTAAAGGGTAACCCTCAGCCACAAGAGGCAAAAAGAAAAGAAAAGAAAAACACCCCAAAAAACTTGAGTAAGTACTATAGCAACAGTGATATAATTACTTGGCTGTCATGAAAGTGTTGGTTTAAACATATTTATTTAAGCATGATTGGGAAAAAGTTCTTGCAACTTATATTAATCACTTTCGAGTCCGCTTCCTGGAACCAACCAGGACTGGTGTCGTGAAGAAACATGATCGTGACCCGACTACGGCTTTTGATCCATTATCTCTGGGTTGAGAGGCAAACACCTTAACCACTAGGCCACTGCTCCCCATAAAACATAAGTGTGTTGTTCAGTCTTTTGTTGACATTTAGACAGTAACATTTTTTGAAACATTACATGTAACATTATACTTGATGTAACCATCATGTATATGAGAAAAACTTTCAAGGATTTGATAAGTTTTATCTTCCCCTTTGTTTCATGCATTAATTTGTGCTGAGCTTTGTCATGTAAATGTGTCATAATTATATAGCAAAAAAAAAAAAAACAACTGTAAGACAGTATAAGTGAATGTATCATGTTTTGACCCAATTTCTTTGTAGTTTGAACAGATTCATGAAATTCTGTCATACACATCTCGGTTTCATTTTGGCCCCGGCTTTCTATATGGACATTTACACAATTGGATACTTGTACATTCTAAGAGGCAGTACAAGTATTCATGGAATAAAAATTGCAATAACCTAAAACTGGCACTTATTCAATAATGGAATTACATAAAAAATATAAGTATAATATTATAAGTTTTGTCATGTTGATGACTGCTAAGTTATCATGACTATGGGTCATCTGGGGTCACATAATGAGGTCACTTTTGGTTAAATAAACAGAAAATTTTGTAAAAATACCCTTGAATATTTTCAAACCAGGATAAAAAAGGTAGGTCACTCAGACCAGACAGAATAATATTGGAAAAGGGGACATTCCTCCAGACCAGTGAAAACAAAGCAAATAGTTCACAATTGCACTCAGTTTTATTGACTCTGTTCATGAGAGACAATGTGATTTGCAACATCTCTCATGTGCCCTTTCACTTATAAACACCACATTTTTCATCAGTTCATGAAACTAGCTAAGAATGACTCTTTGAGAGTTATTAAGAGACCGCCTCCGTGGTCGAGGTGTTAAGAGTCGATGACTTCTAATCCAGTTACCTCTCTGGCGTGGGTTCTATCCACGGGAGATGCTTTGGTAGTTTAGCGCGGAGCAAGGTAGTCTAGTACTGGTGTAACTCTCCAGGAACGATGGTAAGGAAACTACCCGCCTATTTGACTGAAATACTGTTGGGAAAAGGCGTAAAATGAAACAAACAAACTTGAGATATTAAGATCAAATTGAGGCTAAAGGCTTCAATTTGGTGTTATTTTTTCCATTGACAGTTTTTGTTGAGCCGGCTTGCAGCGAGTTGGACTTAAATAGTAGCCACTGTTGGCATATGCGTCCGTGCTTGCGTCCGGTCTATATCTTGCTCATTCTTTGAAGGATTTCAAAATAATTTTGTACAAATGTTCACCATGATGGGGTGGTGTGTCGCACACAAAACCCAGGTCCTCCGCTCAAAGGTCACTTTGGGGTCAGCGCATAACCTGTGTCTGGAGAGTAACTTCTACATGCATGGAGGGATTTTAATATAACTTGGGACAATAATCTCCATAGAGACGGAGTGTCACACGAAAATTACAGGTGTCTGGCAAAGGTCACACTTAGAGGTCAAAGAACAGAGAAAAACATTCATTTAAGAGTATAACTTCTACATACATGGATTGATTATAATATAACTTTGCACAAATGTTCACCATGTTGAGTTGAGTTGTCTCGTGCAAAAGGAAGGCCAAGGTCACAGAGGTCAAATAAAAATATTAAAATTTAGTCCAGTCTACATCTTGCTCATTCTTTGAAGGATTACAAAATAATTTTGTACAGATGTTCACCATAATGGGGTAGTGTTGCACACACAAAATCCAGGTCTCCCACTCAAAGGTCAAGGTTACACATGGGGGGTCAGTGAAAAATCTGTGTCTGGAGGGTAACTTCTACATGCATGGAGGGACTTTTATACAACTTGGGACAAATATTCTCCATATTTAGGCGGAGAAACGCGTGAAAAATTCTAGTGTCAGTAGCAAAGGTCACACTTAGGGGTCAAAGGTCAAATAACTTCTATATTCGTGAATGGATTTTAATATAACTTAAAATAAATGTTCTCCATGGTCAAGGTCACAAGAGGTCAAATAAGAATATCAAAATTTGTTTATCCGCACAGTATCTTGCTTATGCTTTGAAGTTTTATGCTAAGTGGTCTAAGGACTTGTCGAGCCCGTTTGGGCTGAGCTCCACAAAGTTGTCAAAATGGCTGTTTTATGTTTGTGTTTGAGCGTGCGTCCAAACTTGTCCATGCCATAACTTCTTCGTACATGGATGAATTTTGAATTAACATGAATTGAGTTTTTTTAGACACAAATGTTCATTATGAGACTTTTTTTCATGCACATGAACCAGGTCAAGGTCACCTAAGGTGATGCAACGTCAAGATTTTGCCTGGGTATAAAGAGGATGTGTTGCGCACATCTCACCTATGTATATATCTTTTTCCTTGATCTGAAGTCTTGTATAATTATCTTTAAGTAAAGAAATTCCTTAAATAATTTACCTTTGGTTTCAGGTTTCACTGAAACTGTATGACAAAATATACCAATTAGAATGGCAGGAAAATTTATTAACAAATATTTTAAACTAAAGATCAACTTAATCCAGCAGTACAGAATTAAAAGATTAGGGAAAGGTGACAACGCTGTTTTGTATTTTGTGTCCTTGAAAAGATAACAACACCATTAAAGTAAAGACTACATTGTTTATTGAATAGAACTTGGAATGAGTCATTTTGGTGTACATGAAGAGGGAAAAAAATCAACATAAAAGTATATATTAGATTTATCATCCCAGATACAAATAAAACAGTTGAGGGATTATGAGATTACATTGAACAGAAAATAAATGCATTATTGGTAAAATATTGATCAGAAATTGCATGGAAATTCCATATCTTATCTCTAGAACCTATCAAAACTTGTATAATTATGATGCAATGATTGTGCAAATTAAAATGAAAAAGATGTACATGTATTACACACATTTGATTTTTTATAAGCCTACAAGGAAGTACAGTACTTAAAATTTTTCCCTTTAAATAAGGCAAATATGCTGTATTTGCAAATTACAGGTGACATTTTCCTCATTCTATTATTGTACAATGTATCAGTCTAAATAATTAATATGTATAAAAGGACTTAACAGAATAAATCAAAATAAATCATCATTCAAATCTTCCTTATGCACATCATAATAAATTATATTAAAGTGAATAAACTTCCCAGCTGAACAAACAAAAAGTCTTGAACAATTTTATGGTAATACATGTACACACGACATAATTATATCTGCAATTTACAACACAAGGAAGGTTTGAAATGCTCAAATGTTATCAGCTTGTTGACATTGCATTTAGAAAAAGTTCCTGCGGTAAGTATTGATTCATGCTTTTATTTTTTATGATTTTATGAACATTTTTTGGTGGATAATATGCAATATGGGCAATATGAAGAAAAAAATCTGCTTTGCTCTAACTGACTAGAAACAAAATATTAAATGAAAACTACAGCTGACTTGATGTATATAAACATAGTTCTTGTTGTATGATCTCAGTGGATATGTAGATAGCAATACATACATAATATATATATAAAAAATATATTGAAATAAATTGAGAAGTTTGCCTGCAAGTTTTAAAATGGAGTTGGTAAAAATACAGGTATTCCCCACTTGCAAATCATTTTTTAAGGCTGAGTTTAGCAGGCTGTAGTAAAACTCTAGTTTACATACCAAGGACCCTACAAACTTTGTTGCTTGTTATATATCAAATTACAACTAGGGATCAGACTATACTGTCAGGGATAATACAATAGCTTGGATGAAAGAAAGACCAGCCAGCGCTACTGTGAAGTCTTAACAAATTTGAATACAGTCAACTGTTTATACAGTTTTAATGTAAACATATTTATTTTAGCTTGATTGTAAAGAAAGTTCCAAGCTTATACAATCTGCTTCCTGGAACAAACCAGTACTGGTATCATGAGGAAACACAGTCATGATCCCTATAGGACTTGAACCCCACCATCTTTGGGCTGAAAGGCAGACCACTAGGCCACTGTTACCCCCAGCTGCTTACTGTAATGTTCTTAAAACAACAAATAAGTAAGTAAGAAAAGTTCTACTTCAACAGGAGACCTATTCACTATTAAAAATCCATAGATATTTTCAAATTAGACTATATGTAAGTAACACTGTAGTACAAATTTATATCATACACATGTGTAGGTCATAAAATTTTAACAGTGATTTTCCTTGGCAGTAAACAAAGTAATAACATCCTAACAAACAAAGATTTAAGCACTAAAAGACAAGCTCTGGCATATTTTTTTCGATGTACATATAAACAAATTCAACAACAAGAAAATGTGGTCCCTTTGGATATGTACTATGTGACTTACAGGAGCATCTACCATATCTATAGCATACTGCTGAAAAAATGAAGTCACAATGTCCTAGTGCAGAAGGTAGCATTATTTTATACTGACTGTATGGAATAGGTTAATGACATAATGTTAATGACAAATAAGCAAGAGAATCTTGTAGCATATACTGATACAGTACATATAGGATTTATATAACATTCTTGTAAAAATAACTTAGCAACAAAATATTACAAAAATAAAAACAAGATCTTTAATTACAGCATATCCCTTAAAAACTGATCTCCAAAAATTTGTAAACAAAATAAATGGTGGAAAAAACTGTTACACAAATTTGAGACAGTATGTGTGTTAACACACATGTAATAACTAATAAGCAATGATTTACAAAGCATACATGTATATCCTTTGTTTAATACCCCTATTATTCAAATCTTTGTATTTCAGCTCTATTTTGGCATTTTATGAAAAAAATAACAACTTGGCATATAATGTATATATTATACAATGTGAAAATTTTACTTGTGCTCCAAATCCTACACAAAATAGCAATATGTCAGCATTAACATTTTCATATACAAAAGACTGTTTCTAAACTGAGAGAAAACTAATAGTACATCATTCTTAGGAACTATTTTTAGGGACTTGTATCATTATTTATTGTAAGTTACATTTATATCCAATTCAAAATGTACACTGTATTATAGCACTATATGTGATTCATTAAGGCAATATATTATAATAGATTATTTACAGTAATATGTTATATTTACAGAAAGTTAACACAATCAATTCAACTGTAACAATTTGTTTAGGTAACATCCATCTCCCCCCCCCCCCCCACAAAACAACAAAAATCCAAAGAGATCCAAAATTGTTATGATAAAATAAAAAGAAAATCTAAAAATAAATATTCTCAGGAAAAAAAACCTTAAAAGCTCATTAAAGTATGTACATGGATTAACTTTTTTACTGTTAAATGCTTAATATGTTATTAAATAAGTGTATCCACAATACATTTTGATCTTTTTTGATCTTGTAGCAACAGAACAGTTGATGATGAAATATACTAGGCTATAGTATGTGCGTAATGTCAAATATAGTAACCAATCAAAATAAAGGAATCATCAGAGATTTGGAAACAAACAAAAAAACACAGCTTGAATTATGCATAGATGAAGGCAATGCGTTGAAAATGGTGTTGGCCTTACTTCAATGTACCTGAAATGATAAGAGAAATTTTTTTTAAAACCTATTCCACTGGTTTGTTGATTTAATAGTAACCTAACAAAACTGTTTGTCAGACATGTCCATTTTGAATGCTTTGGTCTATGTAGTATGACAATAATTCATACTATTACTATTCAATTTGAGTACATGAGATATGTATTTAGACACTGATATCCCCTAAACTACTTATGGAGCTTTCCATATGCAAAGCTGAGGACAGGTCCATAATTATTAAACATACATTTTGTCACCTTAGTGCAGTAATGGGTTAAGTCCTTCTTAATCTAATAGGAGATAACCAGTTATTGCACTAAGGTGACAAAACTTAGTCTTGTGCATTGAACAACACTGAGCAGGGTATAATATGGTTAAAATCTGTTTAAACAATTCATCTATACACTCTGTACCATGAGTGTAGAATATGATCATGTACATAATCTGTACTAAAATAACCTTTTCAGTGTGTGCTTTTTTTCATTCTCAGAAGTGTCATGAAACTCTTTAAAATCATAACCTGCTCATTTCATAATAAACTTGTTCAGCTATGCAAAGATAAAATTATGCAAATATATCAGGTCTTCAACAAAGCATGAAGAAAACTTAAAAAAAATTAGAAGCCACTGGATTTTGAAGTTCATAAATCAATACATTGATCATTTCTTGTAACTTTAATTAGCACTTAGATTATACAAATTTATTTTAGTTTGATTGTGTTGGAAGCTATAAGCTAATTTAAACATTCTTGAAACCATTCCTCGAATCTGAACCAGTACTAAGCAATGAGTGTAAAGTTTCTTGCTCATGGAAACAACGACTTGCCCCTGATACAGTTTGAACTCGCGCAGCAAGCAAACCTTAGATTACTAGTCCAACATCTTAACCACTTGGCACACCTAATAAAAGGTTGTTTGTTTTGTTTCGTTTTGGGTTTTACGTCACATCGACTCAGTATAGCGTCATATCCCGACGTTCCAGCTTTACTGGTGGAGGAAGACCTCAGGTGCCCTTCAGTGCATTATTTCAGGCATGAACGGGCACCTGAGTAGAACCACCGACGTTCCGCAAGATAGCTGGATAATAAAAGGTTGAAAAAATGAGTTTTGAAAAATATCATAAATTTCACTTACATCAGAATCCATTTCCTTTTAAACTTTCTCCTAATTTTGACAATGGATCTAAGAGGGAACGAGGTTCTGAACTTTTACCTCCTACTCCAACTACAATACCTGTAAAAGAAAATTGTATCCTTATTAATTCTTTGTCTCAAAAATATGACAAAAAGTCTTTAACTTTAAGCATATCATTATCAAACACATACATGTATGTGCACAACTAAAGATAAATTGTTTTCTTTTTTTTAAACCTTATGCTACGCTGTAACAAATAAGGTAAAATTTTAATCATATTTTAATGGAATTTCAGTGAAGATTAACAGCTGTGGGCTTTTTTCAATTTCATAGGGTAGGGGGAGCCTGGGCTCTTCCCTCTAATTTGGGGGTTAACAACATGCAGTATTTTTGCAAAAGGGGAAGAAAAAACTTTAAAAACTTGATGTCAACAAAATATTTGGTAAAAACTGTCTTGAAGCAGCCCTAACACAGCCTTTCCTGTAGAGGGGGGTTAAAAGCCAAAATTGCTATTTGTAGATCTATGTAACCCATATATGCATTCCTTCTTCACTTTCCTCAAATTCTTGAAAAGGGAAGATGATCCCTATAAACTAAACAGAACAAAAGTTAAGGCATATATTGCAGACTTGTTTAGATTAAGTTAGTTCATGAGAGACAATTCAGTGTCACATGCTGGGAGAGCAGTAGTTTATCTCCCACACTCTGAAAATATTGGAACTAAATGCATTCTTTTATCAATCTAGACTTTTACCGTTTACAAAATCTGTAAATACCAAGCAACTGGTTTTTCATTTAAAATGTAACAAAACTGGTGTATGAGAGGAGAGATATTGCCCAGACACGAAAATAGCACAATATCTTGTTGCGCAGTTTAATAAGCTGGACTAAGGTTGGCCTAGGTCTATATTGGCGGTATAGTAGCATCACCGTCACCATTAGCAATATAAAGACATTAATTTTAATCCTTAATCTTATTGCTGAATTTATGTTATGGATTGGCCTAATTTTGACTTTGGAGTCTAAGTCTAAGGATTTAAAGTCTAAGGGATTTCAACATAAAATTTCAAAATACAAAAATTGAGCTGCAAGTTAATATCATAGGGTCTAGTCAAACTTCCTGTATGTTCAGATTAGCCTTGTGACAAAGGTTAAACACTTTTGGTTCAAGCAGATCTGCAGATCTGTACACAACAAGTTCTAGAAAAATATATGAAGTTTTCCAACAAGTCCCAGGGTAGAACTTAGGAAAAAAACAACACAAAAACACAGTTAATTGATAAATGTGGTGACTGGTGACAATGCAAAATATCAAGATATTGAAAAAGGGTGTGGTGGCATTGTATTTCCATCATTTCAAAGAAGTTTCTTATCAATTTCTGAATTCTCCTTCTTACATCAGGGTTTTTGAAATCCATGTCTGGTTATCTTGTCAAATGTGCATTCCACATCACTTTAGTGTCTATTAAAACTTTAGAAGAATTTTTCATAGTGGGAAAAAAAAACTTACAAAAATCCAATAAAGACAGTCACAGGTATTGGTAACTTAAATTCATAGAATGCAACAGGTAAAAAAACTAAAATATACTTACATTTAGAACATTTAACAGCTACTATGCAGGAATCTGTTTTATTTTTTCCTAGAAGTTGGCCTTCAGAAGAATCAGCTTTAATGACCATCTGTTTTGCTCCGTTCACATGAACACTTTCTGCACTAGGATTACCAGTCTGTATACATTTCTTAATATGTTGAATTTCTCCACCAGAGAACTTTAGATTATTCTGAAATTTAGAATTATACTATGCTCAAATTTGACATTAGAAAATATTGTAATTGCTACACAGTCTCTTTGTAAATATAAAATAAACATTTTTTGACTTCACACAAATAAAGTAGGTATGTACGTTATCATATGTTTAAAATTCTCCACACTTCAGGTGGTCACAATTTATGAATATAACTGATATGTCATTAAAAAACTGGCATTTTTTTTAAATTTAAAGAAAAGACCAACTTTACTTGAGAACAAACAGTGTTAAATACAAAATTTTACATTTATTGTCACAAAAATTCAGTCTATATTATGGATCAATATTTAACATATATTGTCTTGATTTCTCTTCTTAACAAATTTAATTTCAAACAATAACGTACAGGTACACTGCCAACTTTTTCCAATTTCTGTTCTAATCGTACTCATGTTATTAATTAAACAATCTATATCCTAATAATTATTTATAGGTTAATACTTGGTTGCTGCTCGCCAATATGCGATTATGGCCCAAAGATGTGCATAATGGCCTGAGGGCCGCAGGCCCGAACAACATTATGAACTCGAGGGCCATTATCGTATAATGGCGAGCAGCAACCAAGTATTTACGTCTTTAATGTCCCAAATACGGCGGTTAGACATCGCCGCTAATCTTGGTTGTCGCCCTTTCTAAGAAACGGACGGTTGTCAATGTAAACAAATTTATATATATCTGTCATACAATTTAACACTTCGATTAACTCGGAAACATGATAGATCTTACACAAAATAAATATGAGAAAATTTTGTTTTATTGTTGTTTTTTTATCAATAAATACAGTATTCAAAATAGACAACAGTAACCAATAAATTGATGGTTACCGTTGTCTACTGTTCTGCGAACGCAGTCATAGGAAACCAGGAGAGCGGAACAGTACGATGTAGGGTTTGTACTTTTGTTTTTGACAAAATGGCCGACCATCAACGGAATTTTGCAAGATTTTAACAAACTGTCCGAGTTTAAATGTAAGTTATTTAAGGTTGTATGTAAGGTAGAAGAAGAATGTTAAAAATTTTCTAAATGCATGATGTGTAAAGAGTAGCAAAATTGCTTGTATTGTTACAGAACTCGACATTGTGGTTGTTCCACAGCATGTCCTAGTAAAGCTCCATATATGTAGCGTTACAGTGACTTGGTGACCTTTTCGTAGTAATAGTATATTGGAAAAAAAAAAATCATTTTTTTTTTCACTCAACCCAGAATAGTTTTTTTTTTTTTTTTTTTTTTTTTTTTTTTTTACTTCAATTTTTTTATATGGGCACCAAGACTCGACGAGCACCTGTGGCTAATTATGGAAAAATAATGCCTAGTAGCAAGGCGGCCGAAATTGCATAATGACTTAGATCTTGCCATAATGGCATTGAAATACCCTAAATTTTGAGTTGAATTGACCTGTGCCGTGGTGACCTATGCCGAGTTGGTATACTATAGGGCCGAGTTGACTCTTTACCGTTATGTCATGTCACGGTTTAATCAGATAAATAAGGCACTTTGTATTGATTTTTGGCAAATTCTGAACACCGATGGCTTATCAGGTGGGGTTGCTAGTGAAACATCTTGCTAGTGAAACGTCTGACATTTCTGTAACCCATAAATTATGCTACCAATCTTTTTTGTCATTTGATGTTTTATAAATTATAAACTGTTAAATAAATCTAAAATTGATGTTAAATAAGTGTTAAAAAATATTGCTCTCAAGAACAAGATAAATTTAAATGCTAATAATATTCACTTCCGCATTCAGCAGGACATATAACAGCCCTGGCCAAATAAAGTAAATTTTACTGAAATTACTAAATATTCACTCACATCATCACAAAATTCTGCCCAAACTGAGCCATCCTCTCCATATATTCCACCTGCAACAAATCCTGCTGCTTTAATATTCTTGCACCAATCATCCCAAGACATTTTCACAAATTATTTAGATATCCTAAAAGTATATTCCTCAAAATTTCAAACACTTCCGCGATGTATGCAGCGTCTCACTGGTGCATGTAATGATAGAAGAAACGAAAGCGATGATATATGCAGAAAGGAAAATAAAGAGCAGGAAGAAATAAATATAGACGAAAGAAACCAAAAACATCAAAAAGGGCATGTAAGTATCGGAAAGTGGTATGATACTCTTAGTTCACGTTACTTAACGTTTTGAAACAAGAAAGAAAACAACAAATGAAACGTGTGGTACAAAAATTGTCATAAGCTGTAACATATAGGTATATTCTGCTGTATGACACAAGAAAACAACAATACATTCAATCAAAATCATTTTAATGGGCCAGACGTAGACCATGTCGGCCAATTTGAAAAAAGTGGGTCATCATTTAAATCGCGGTAAATGGTGTTAAACTTCAGTTTTTTCATGGTTCATCTAAATTTCTACATGTTAATTTGCTTAATTTTAAATATTCAAAATATTTTTACTTTGTAACTCAATTTTTTTTTCAACAAATAAGAACATTTAGAAAATGATGATTGTTTCAGACGTATGCACATATTTTATGGACTATTGTTGCTTTTTGCAGAACTTTGTAAAATGTTGTTCTGTTTTCGTAAAATTCTAGATTTAAAATATTTTGCACAAAAACTTTATTGTTAAGATATATGAATTAAATATGTCAATCTGACCAATTTTAACACTGGTCACATGAAAATATGTCATTACCCGTGAGCGGAATTAGTGATGTGTTGAGAATATTACACACAACGGAGGGCAAAAATATATTTGAAATGCGTGTCTCCGGTGGATTATGTCGATTTGTCCTGAGATTGAAAGAATGTTACCATTGAGAAAATACAGACATACATTACTGTGATGTATATTGAGCTCCGCTTAGGAGGTGATAAAAGACGCCAAATGACAACTTTAAAAGGCATCGATCATGCCTTCATGAAGATAGCATTATTATTCTCGTAAATGGCCCTACCATCAAATAAAAAAGAAAGAAGAAAAAAAGACCTACACAGTCTATTCCCCACTAAGTAACACGTTAAAGAACTCTACTGACGTCCAAAAGGCTAGCTAAAAACATAAAGTTTGAATTTCTTAACTGGGACACTTGAAACAGAAAATATACAAAATATTATGAAGAAATATACTTTAAAAAGTTGTAAACCATATTTTGTGAATATTTTGGAAAATAAAACCAAACAAACAACAAGACAAAAATCGAAATTGACATGAGTTTCCTACTTAAATGCCAACTATCAACATAAATAATAAAAATTTTGATTTCTGTTGCTTTTGTTTCACTTTTTTTTTTCATAAGGAGTACATGTGTAAAAAGAACAGCAGCATTAAATATGTAAATTAAATAAGTATATACAGTGAGTCATACATGTACGTCGGCGGTATTCATTGTTAGGTGAACGCTTTGTGATTTAATGGAATAAAAATATGGAAACTTAAGCTAAGGTTGTTAAACACGACAACCCTGAAATAGTGTAGCCTTATTTGTGTTTTTTATGGGTTTTGTTTTCTAGATTATATTGAATAACCATGTCACAACACGGCTTTGATTAAAGCCTTGGCCATATTAGGGTGTTTTAGATCTATCCTATTGGTTTACACATATCTATTTAAGCTCGATTGCGAAACAAGTTCTTGCAACTTATATAAATAACTTTCGAGTCCGCTTCCTGGAACCAGCCAGTACTGGTGTCATATTAAGAAACATGGTCGTGACCCGAGTAGGGCTCGAACCCATGATCTCTGGGTTGAGAGGCAGACACCTTAGCCACTAGGCCACTGCTCCCCTCATCTATCCTATTCAACGTACATGTAATTCATACATAAATTAAGCAGGCACGTCAGTTGTAAAGCAAAATTAAATTAAATAAATGAACTAAACGTAATTAGAGGTTAAATGGATATCCTTTTCGTTAATTCTAGAGATAGGCTTTTTTGTGGTTAAGAAATTTACATTAAATTCATTATAATAGACGTTTGCAGTTTGAAAACTACATCGTCATATAATAGTTAATATGTTCTTATGAATTTCTTGAATATTTAGTTTACTAGATTCTTATAAACATTACTTCAAAATTATTGTTTCGATTAAACCACAAAAATAGAACTGTCCTTTTTATATTAGAGTTAATCTTATAAATGAGAGCAAAAGATTATACAAATTGCTCGGTGTACCTACTTTGCATGCAATTTTTAATGTTCAGTCTAATATTTTTACGGAATATATATATCTGTTGGTAAGTTTCAATTTGGTGAATATATTCTAGTGATCATTTTCATTGCATTTTTAAAGTATCGATAGATCTATGATCTATTCACCGATCTACATATGAAAGGATAGTTCAAAATAGTAAGTGTATATATAGCGGATTTCATTTACATTTGCGGTCTCTTTTTAATTGTACAAGTTGATGGGAATTTCAATATGGGTATTTATTGAAATTCAAATGGAACGAAAATCATTTAACAGGAGTCATCTGATGAATGTGACATATCGCTTATTAAAGATCCAGTCTGGTCTTCACAGATCAAATTTATTGATTAAAACAAAGAAAGTCTTATGGGTTATGATTAACCGATAAACATATATTTGGTTTATTCCTTTAAGTTTTATTTTTATTAAGCCCGAAAAATAGTGTCAGTTTAAGCGTTGTATTTAATTCCCTTTCACAGTTTCAAAAAGAGTTCCCAATATTGCTGAGTCATCTTTTGCTTCTATATTACTTTGGCAATAAATAAATGTAGTACAGTGAGAGCGATTTAGTATTGTGTATGCAAGCCAAAATACTACTTTTTTATATTTTGCTTACAATTTTCTACCTTTATGTATAGGTTAGAGTGCATATTGGGTGTTCTTCGTAAATAAGAAAGCTCAAAAGGAGCGGAGCTTGCGAAGCGACTGTAGCTTTCTTATTTACGAAGAACATCCAATATGCACTCTAACCGGCTTAGTGCTCCGCCCATTTTTTTCCGCCCAACACACCGCGTGACGTCACACGATAGCCTAAATGTGTATAACCATATTTGGAAAGAAGGTAGCGGTACACATTTTCCGGGTCACGTGTTTTGCATAGGTTATTCCCGGCATTCCGTCTAGGTAAATCAGACAATATCACGGTGCATATCCATATCGGTACCCTCTTTGCGAAATAATTCTCAAACGGTGCCCCTCTTTGTAACATACACAGGTCATTCTCTGCTAAAAACAAACCAGCGATGGATAACAATGCAGTAAAAAATTCATTGTAATAAGGAAAGGAGGTATGACACGTAAGAAAAGATGTATACCACGGAAACACTAGAATGTTTTAATTTATGTGCCTGAATTTGTCATGTGCCCCGATTTTCAATGTACTGCAACTTCATAATAAGCTACAAAAAGTCGACATGGTAATTGCCTCGCCCCGTCACCTCGAAATATTTTTTCGGGCTGAAATGAACCTGTAGCCTTGATTATATATGCATCATACATATTTATTATGTTCATATACATATCATCTTCGGACAAATGGCAGTATATTGTCAAAAATAAATGTAAAATTAATAAAAACACCCCTACTTTCGGTTTTTGCAGCGGCAAACGGGCTGTAATATTTACAAAAAAAAACAAGAATATTACATACAATACTTTGTTTGGAATAAGTGAACTTTTTATTTGGAAATTATACAAAAATGAATACTGGGTTCCGTAAGTAATAAAACATTTTTTACTGTTATTTTGCTGTTTTCATTTCAATGAACCTCCTTTTTTAAATTCTATGCCCGTAGTGAAAGATATACATGTGCGTGTGTACGGGAAAAACATGATGCATAAATATTAATTAGTAGGAGTAAACTTCAAGATCTCTGCACATGCGTATATTTCACTTTAGCGCTCTTCGAAACTTAGCTCCGCCCACTTGCGTTTTATAATATAAAACGTCCAGTTTATATAAAATCTGTTCTATTAAGATTTGAAACCTGAAAATTTGAAAAATCCTCGTCGGTGATTGGCTTAAAAAAATTGGCGAGCACTAAGATAAATTAAATATCACTTCTAGAGCCACTCTATCTATCTGATAAGCATCTTTCATACTCTTAATCAATTTTTACATTTTAAAAACACATGTCAAAATATGCAAAACAACAACAACAACAACAACAAGATCATCCTTTCTACGTTAGTCACGTAGTAAAAATATGATAATAAAAATAGAAAAATCAGCCATTTATTGCATGTGCATTGTCTGTTCAATGAAAACTAATAACAATAGAACATTGAAGATATTTTTTTTCAATTATGACGCAAATTTGATTTCGCCCTGTATCCATAAATAAAATGTCCAAAAATAAACTGTTAAGTAGTTTCAAATCAATTTTACCATAATGCCAAAGTGATTTGTGCTGACATTATTTTCTGAATATTGTGGTTAATTATATAACTGTACGGATTCGTCAAGAAGATAAGCATATATAAGAACTTAGTATGCTCGTAAAACATAAAGAACATATTTAATAAAGATTCGTTTGAAATGACACATTGCAGTAATTCTGTAACTGGAGAGGAATGAAACCTGTCG